TTCCTTCTTTCCTTCTTTCCTTCTTTCCTTCTTTCCTTCTTTCCTTCCTTCCTTCCTTCCTTCCTTCCTTCCTTCCTTCCTTCCTTCCTTCCTTCCAGACAGGGTCTCGCTCTATTACCCAGACTGGAGTGCAGTGATACAATCTCAGCTCACTGCAGGCTCCACCTCCCAGCTTCACGCCACTCTCCTGCCTCAGCCTCCTGAGTAGCTGGGACTACAGGTGCCCTCCACCACACCTGGCTAATTTTTTGTATTTTCAGTAGAGACAGGGTTTCACCATGTTAGCCAGGATGGTCTCTATCTCCTGACCTCATGATCCGCCTGCCTCGGCCTCCCAAAGTGCTGGGATTACAGGCTTGAGCCACCGCACCCAGCCTCCAGTGCTAAATATTTTTCTGTCTTCATTGTCAACCTTTGAAATGGTCTTGATGCTTAACTTTTTTCAATTTTTTGGAATCTAGGGATTGATGATCATACATTAAAGGTTTGGGTGGTGAAAAACTACTATTGTCCTTCAGCTTTGGAAAAACATTTTACTGTCAACTTGGAGCACATATGTTTTAATTATTTAAAGCCTAGTAGCCTAAATATGATGCCCAGTGAGAATGGTATTAATATAATACTAGAGAAAGGTATATAGTATAGAAGAAAAATTAGTACTTGGGACAGGAAAATGTGAAAAACTGGTGTCTTTGTCTACATAGACAAATAGCTCTATATAGCTCTCTTATTCACAAAGTGCAATAGTGACAACATCATCAAGCGATGTAAATGATAGCTTTTCTGGGAGAAACCCATCAAGAACAATTACTATATTAGTAACAACAAAAACACCTTATGATCACTGTAAAAGCAGTAGGTCAACAGACATTAAGAAATGTAAAAGTTGTCATTTCATAGCAGGCACAGTTATGCAAACAATTTTCCAAATGGTACCCCAAAAGAAAAGCTATATTGGAAAATTAAACCTCATCTGCACCTTCTAAAAAAATCCAGTAATATCTATCTCTAACCATTTTCATAGTGACAGCTTCTCTGCATGTTGTATTATGAGTTTTAGAAAAGGGAGAAGAAAAAGGATTGGCATAGCCTCACAACTGCACAGACACTGAGCTTCTGATCTTCTGTATGTGCATACTTTAATCTATCACATTTTCAGTGGGTTTTATGTTCAACCATGGGGTTTAACATTTGATTTCCTAGGTTACTGAGCAGTAGGCACTCTCTCTATGTTGTTGGATAAATCATTTCAGGATCAGACTATACTGGTTCCTTCTCCAAAATGCATTGTCAGTCACCCAATAAGAAATGCTTCTAACCCTCTGCTAGAGCCTCCACCTCAGCCAGGGCCACTAGATGTCTGGTTCTTCCTTAGGTTTCACTCTTAAGAAGCACTGATAGAAAGTATCTTAAAAATATAATCAATATACTTAATAATAGTATCAAACTTTTGCCCAATGTTGTAATCTGGTTAGAGGCTCATTCTCTAGTTCTGAGGGTGAAAGAGCTGGTTCTTTTGTCTAGTCTCTCTTTTTTCTCAGAGAGAAAACAGACTTACAGACTTGCCTCCCTGCCTCCTCAGAAAATGGGAAAATGGATTTTAACAAAGAAAGAAAGTATGAAAATGTGGTTGGAAATGTATTTGTACTTACCAGGTATACAACGATAGAGTTTTTGGATAGGGAGTAATGCTAACACTTGACAGAATAGGAGAATTATTTGGCCATATTTTTGAGGATCTGGTGTTGCCTTTGTTAGCCCCACTAGCTCTGAGAATCCACCTTTCTTCTCTAGAGACAACTTTTAGTCCAAAATTCCATGTCAGATTGTATAGGAGCACAACCACCTCCTACAAGTCACCTGTGATCTCCTGTGGGATGGTTTCTATAAGGTCTATACTGACAAACTTACCCAGTAAAACTGAGTTCTACAGCTCTGGTTAAAAGTTCTGTCATTATACATTATAACCCTTAGGCACCTTATATTCAAACTCTCACTACCTTCTGCTTGTTTAATTCCAAACGACAAGACATTCACCCACCAGTGCTCCTTGTTTGGGTCCACTTCAGCAGCTTGGAACCCTTCTTTCTTTTGGGATGACACAGTACCTTTAGTATCAAGTAAGATATGGGTCACATATTCCTTGCTTTGAAACATAACAGATACACACATACCTTTTTGTCTGTTTACTTTTTTTAAGAGTGATGCATGGATTAGACTTTCCTAGGCAAAATCCTGAAGCTTTTTAAGATGTGGAGTGCATAGAGTTCTCAAATGCTTGGTCATTTGAAAACTGCATCTCTGATGTCCTGGCTACTTGGTCAGACTCTTATCTTTGAAATGTAGCTTAGATCATCATAAGGACCTTTGATGGGTACTGCTGAGAGCGTTTTTTGCATATGCATAAGAAAAGATACATTTCTCTTATCACCATGAAACTGCATTGCTTCAAAAAGATGAACTAATCAGAAGCAGCTGGAATGAATTAGAGACATTGACAACTCAAAAATGAGACATAAGTGATCCTGTGGGGGAAAAGCACTTTTAAATTGTTTAAATGTGCTTGTCTAACATGTCACTAAAAGCTGTAATCTTCCATTTTCCATTAACAACTCCATCAATTTTCCTCTAATGTTTTAAATTAACTGTCTTCTCTCAAACATGATGCTGTTCAACATTTGAAGAAAATGGTCCCTGTTTTTTTTAATTCCAGATTTAGAAAACTGAAATATGCAGCACATTTTGATAAAAGTTTATTCATGCTAGAGGTTGGCATGTTTCCTATCACTTGAAATTTTAGAGTATTGCCCCCAAATAAATGTGCCTATTCTTTTATAAATTTTATGATCCCTGTGATGGCAGCATTATAACTCTGCCAAACAGGAGAAAATTACATTGTTTTTATAAAATGTCCAAGAGATGAGCTTGTTTTCACTTAACTAATTTTATGCTTGCATCCTTGTTCTCTTCTGACAATGACTTTTCTGGAGAATGAAAAACAAAAGGATAATATGAAAATATTTTAGCACCCTATATTGATGGGAGTAAGTGTACATCTATTAAAAGAGAGAAATCACCACACCCCAATTAGTTGATATAGCACATTTGGCTAATTGGTAAAAGAAATGTTATATTCACAGATCAGATAAAAATTGAATTTCTATATCAATCTACCAAGCAACCACTAATTAAATGTTGAGTAGATTTCTGACATGTCCTATAAGCCCTACTATGGCTGTGATGTTTTGGTTTTTACTTTAGAATGTTTATTGATTCATTTCAATTTAACAGATATTTACTATCACTTTATGCAGGCATGAAGCTAGGCACTGGGATGCAAAGAGTAATTAAATATGGGACAAGGTGTGCCAAAGAAGACTACTGGTCCTGTAGGATTGGCTGCATGTGAGAATCCACATGAGAGGCTAAGAATACTGTACACAAAGATCCTTGATGTTCTTGAGCAAATCTCTGAAAATGCAGCATATAAAAAGTGTACAGAACAGATTACAAATGAGAAGTTGGCTATGCTTAAAGTGGAACCAGATGTTAAAAAATTAGAAGACCAACTTCAAGGTGGCCAGATAGAAGAGGGGATTCATCAGGCTGAAAATGAACTGAGTCTGGTGAGAAAAATAATGCAGTGGAAACCAGGGGAGGCATTAGTGGAAGAGCCTCCTGCCAATCAGTGGAAACAGCCAATATAATTATTAAATGACTTTGGTGGGTTGAGGGAAATAGATGTAATTAAATATTCTGTTACATTAAGAGTGTGTTCATATTATTGATATTTCATAATCAAGAAAACTGATACAGAAAATACTTAGGAGACTCGTTAAAATGAATGATTATGGTAACATCATCTTGTGAGTCAATTTTTGATTTGTAAATTTTTCACACAAATTATTTCCAAGATGATATTTCTTTGAATAAAGAGGTTGTGGGAAGATCTGAAAATTAGAAAAATTCCTACCGATCTTCAATGCAGAGACTATAATCAAAAAGCAGTTTCTTTAGTAGTATCTTCAATACACCATTTAATATTTTTATTATCCTAAAGAAGAAAAAGCCCTTAATTATTGTCTAAACAAATTTATAGATCACTGTTTGAAGTAAAGGCAATGATTATTTTCAAACGTGAAAAGCAGCACAAGTGGCTGGAATAACAATTTGAAATTATGTTTAACCTCCTTGGCTGTGATCTTATGTATATAAAGCCAAATTTAAATATATAATTATATAATAAAGCAAAAACAGCCATACTCACAAGGAGCTCAAAATTGTGAGGGGAAGGTAAAAATCATGTTTTAATTATTTTGTTATAATGTGATGACATTGGATAGAAAAACTCTTTTCTTATTTTAAATCACGGGAGCACAGCAGAGTGATTAATTGTTCCTGACTTGGATGAGAGGAGGGATGGGGAAGACTTGAAGGAGGAGAGAACTTTTGAACTGCGTGTGGAATTATTAGAGTAAGAATAATAGAAGAATAGAAGAAAGAATAAGTGTCTTTCTCTCAGGCTTACATCAAGGCAAAAGACATGGATATGTACAAAATGTTCAGGGAAACATTGGACAGATAACTTGCCTTCTATAGCAATCTTACTTTTTTTTTTTTTTTTTTTTTTGAGACGGAGTCTCGCTCTGTCGCCCAGGCTGGAGTGCAGTGGCGCAATCTCGGCTCACTGCAAGCTCCACCTCCCGGGTTCACGCCATTCTCCTGCCTCAGCCTCCGGAGTAGCTGGGACTACAGGCGCCCGCCACTGCGCCCGGCTAATTTTTTCTATTTTTAGTAGAGACGGGGTTTCACCGTGTTAGCCAGGATGGTCTCGATCTCCTGACCTTGTGATCCGCCCGCCTTGGCCTCCCAAAGTGCTGGGATTACAGGCGTGAGCCACCGCGCCCGGCCAGCAATCTTACTTTTTTATGTGAAGAGTGATGAGAAACATGGGAAAGACACCTGGATTCAGCCTGTGAGTGATCTGACACGCCATTCCTAGGATTGTGAACCTTAAACCCTCATTATGAGAAATGATTGAAAGTTTTAAACAAAGTGTGATGACCAATATTAAATATCAGGAAGATTATTTTATCATGATTTCTTCACAGAGCTTCTTTATGTTTTGGCACCTAGATTTGCTCCCTCAAAATCCAGTGCCACACTGACACCCAACCTGAACTTTTGATGGTGACCTCATTTCTCATTTTGGTACCTAAAGGAGCCCTTATTTATTCTCAGTGTTTTGAAGTTTCATGATATATGCTTTAGAGTTTTTTTGTTATCTATTTTAGACTCAGTCATTTCATCATTGAAAACGCCCTCCATGACTTGTTTGCTAATTTCCATAATTTCACCTGTTCCATCTTTCCAAAATTCCAGTGAGTCAGTATTTGAATACCTGTTCATTCTTCTTTTAGTTCTATTTTCTAAGTAATTTCTTTGACATTATCTTCTAATCGTTTCTAGAAAAGTGTTTGTTATTTGGAGGAAAAGCTTTTTCTTGAGAATAATTTTGATTATTTTTTTCTGTATAAACCAGGTCCTGTTTCAAAGAAGTAATATCTTTTCTTAATAAAGTTTACTCTGCTCTCAAATTTCTCTCTTTTTTATTACATGCTGTATTAAGTGTTAAGCTAGTTAGCTAGTTAGTTGCCTTTGTGCTTTTCACATGAGAAGCTTTCTCAAAATGGAGATAATTCTTGTCTGTCTGGTCTTATTTCCAACTAAGGCATGGAAAGCTGATTGAAAAGAGCAGAGCTTTGGAACATCTATAGAAGGCAACAAACCAGGCTGTTTTGGTGTTTTGATTGTTTTGGTTTGGTTTTGAGACAGAGTCTTTCTCTGTCACCCAGGCCTGAGTACAGTGGTGTGATTATAGCTTATTGCAGCCTCAAACTCCTAGGTTCAAGCAATCCTCCTACCTCAGCCTCCCACCCAGCAACAGGCCCTGGTATGTGTTGTTCCCCTCCCTGTGTCCACGTGTTCTCATTGTTCAACTCCCACTTATAAGTGAGAACATGCGGTGTTTGGTTTTCTGTTTCTGTGTTTGCAGAGAATGATGGCTTCTAGCTTCATCCATGTCCCTGAAAAGGACATGATCTCATTCTTTTTTATGGCTGCCTGTTTCTAAATGAGGTTTTATTTGAATATACCATGCTCATTCATTTATGTATTGTCTAAGGCTACTTTCATGCTACAACAGCAAAGTTGCATAGCAGACCATGTTGTCCACAAAGCTGAAAGTATTTGTTCTCTGGCCCTTTATAGAAAGTTTGCTGACCCCTGCTGTCATTTAAAGCCTATTATAATTTAATTAGAGAAGACTTTATAAAATACACTCAGACTTTCATACTTTACATTTCCAGTTGAAATTTCCAAAAAGTACACACTGACACATGAAAAAAGCAGAGAAAAGAGTCCTAGACAGAACCATCACAACCCAAACTTCTCCCAAGATAAGTAGTGTCTATTTTTCAATCTACTGAAGTATGTAATATATGCCAAGGACTATGCTAGTCACTGGGAGTACAAAGATGAATACCTGACCTTACCCTCAATGAGCCTAGAGTTCAGCAAAGAATGCAGGAAAACATGTAAACAGATGTTTATATAATGTCATGTAGCATATACTCAACAGGGGTTGTAAAGATCACTTAGAAAGCTCAGATGAAGAATTTTAAACTTTGAGCAAAATATGTTAAACTAAACATATTCGTTTATTCACTGCTACCTCCCAAAATGCCACTAAAGTTAGAGTAAAAGAACTATATGTACATACACAAATATACATATACTCCTAGATACACATATACACTAATACTTAGAAGTATGCATACACAGAGACATATATATATAGGTAAGGCAAGCCACAGATATGGACAAAATATTCATAATGTGCATGTTTTACAAAGGATTTGTACCCAGAATATATACAACCTGATAATAATAAGACAGCAACTGAATAAAAATGGGCACAAGATTTGAATAGATACTTCACAAATGAAGGTATATGAAGAACAAATAGGTACAGAAACGGTGCTCAATATAGTTAGTTATCAGTAAAATGCAAATTAAAATCACAGTAAGATACTACTATATACTCACTAGAATGGCTTAGATTAAAAACACTGACTTTACCAAGTATTTATGATTTGAAGCAACTGAAACTCTCATGTATTATTGATACTATGTGTGATGGTTAATTCTACGTGTCAATTTGAATGGGACATAGGGTGCCAGATATTTGGTCAAATATTATATGGGTGTGTCTCTGAAAGTGTCTTTGAATTAGATTAACATTTGAATTGTAGACCAAGTAAAGCAGATCGCCCTCCTTAACATGGGTGGGCTCCATAAAATCAAATGAAGGCTTGAATGAACACAACAAAAAGGCTGACCTTCCCAAGAGTGATAACGAACTACTGCCTGAAAATGAATACAACAAAAAGGCTGACTCTTCCTAAGAGTATAATGAACTACTGGGTTTGAGAGTTTGAGAAGAAACATCAGCCTGCCTGTCTTGGATCCTAACATCAGCTCTTCTGGCCCAAAGTCATGGGTTTCCTACACGGAAATGCTTGCTACTAGTCCATCAGCTCTCCTGGGCCTCCATCTCTATATACATATATATATATACACTATATATGTAAATATACATATATAATATATAATATATTGTATTATATATTATATACATCTAATATAATATAGATATTCATAGTATAATATATATTATATATTATAATACATTTATACATATAATAGAGCAATTATATAATATAATATACATTATATTATTTATTTATTATAATAATAATAATAACAAAAAGGCTGACCTTCCCAAGAGTGATAACGAACTACTGCCTGAGAGTTTTGAGCAGGAACATCAGCCTGCCTGTCTTTGGATCCCAACATCAGCTCTTCTTGGGTCTCAAGTTTGTGGGAGTGGATATTAAAGGTGTGGGATAATGGTAGAGAAACATAAAGTTGGACCAGGATGAATTTATTGAAATGGGCTCACAAAGTAGAGATTCTGTATTATATATAATATATTAGATATATTATATTATATCTAATATATTATTTATTATATATTATTTATTATATTATATATAGTATATTATTATATATTATGTATATAAATATAATATGTAAATAATATAAGTATATATCATATATAATATAATTTTTAATATAATATATTATATGTTATATAAATATATACAATTAATATATAATATATATTTATTTAATATATAACATATATTTATATATAAAATATCATATAATATATATTATATATTATATAATATATACTACCATATAATATATATTATATAATACATACTATCATATAATATATAATATTATAGCAAAATATGTATATATACAACAAAATATACACACACACACATACACACAGATATCATATTACTTCTGTTTCTCTGGATAACCCAGACTAGCACATATTTTGGAACCAAGAGTAGTCCTAGAGAAATAGAATCTTAAGTATGAGTTATCAAAATGGACTCTAGTGTTTCTGTGATTGGATCTATAACCTGATTAAAGACACTAAGGACTCTAAATTCAGTAGAAAAGAGAGCATTGATAGCCCATGGTGTGATCTGGCAAAAGAGATATGCAAAATATCTCCATTTGTTATCCTAATCAATCACCTACAAGAAGCAAAGAACCAGGAGACTATGTATATAATATTTTTAACATATTTGGCAAACTAATAAAGGTAATGAGTCTAGTTATAGATCTAGAAGCAAAGATAGGTGGTGGATCTAGAAGCAAAGGCCGGTAATGTTACTATAAAAAAAAAGGGAAAAGAAAATCTCGGGCAAACTCAGAAATTCACATTGCCAGTTCACGCACTGCAAAAATGACCTGAAAGCTTCTATGGGAGCTCTGAAGAA